CCTATAAGTCGAAGTGTATAGGAAGAATATGACGTAAGGTCTGAGAGAAGAAGCTGATGATGAAACATGTTTGCAATGAGGAAATTGCATAATAACGAATGTGTGTTTAAGAAAGAAGGAGAAAGTGATGGAAATGATGTCGAAACCAAAAGAAGCTTTGCCATATGAAATGGAAGCCATGTTTGCAGCAATTTGACAGAAAGCAATTTGATTGATGGGACATTTCATTTGTTAGGATTTTTAAGAGAGTTGGAACCAAATATAGGCGATGTTTGCATTTTGAGAGACAAAAGCTGTAATCAATTACCAACACTATATTATTCATATGATTTAGTTGAGAATTTAAATATTTGGATAAAATTTACCCTCAAATTGGTGACACGACAAAATTAAAAAGAAGAACACAAATGAGATTTCCAAAATAACTCCTCTTCTTATATTTTACAGGAAAAATACTCTTTTTGGTCCCTTAAGTTTACCTCGGGGTCCATTTTGGTCCCTTAAGTTTAAAAAGTTACAAATTGATCCTTTAATTATTCAAAAAGGTTCACATTAGTCATTTCCGTCCAATTTTTTGAAATGACGTCAATTTTTGCATGGGTGGCATCCGACATGGCATCTGTTTGTACATATGGTATGTGATTGGGCATACATTCATCTTCAAGGTCATCAAAATTCCAAAAAAAAATTCTAAAAAGTTGTATTGAGTCAGTATTCAAACACATGTTTGTTTTGTTGCTAAACAATATACCAACCACTAAACCACCTCGTGCTTGCTTGTATGTCTTACAAATCATATATATATATATATATATATATATATATATATATATATATATATATATATATATATATATATATATATATATATATATATATATATATATATATATATATATATATATATATATATATATATATATATATATATATATATATATATATATATATATATATATATATATATATATATATATATATATATATATATATATATATATATATATATATATATATATATATATATATATATATATATATATATATATATATATATATATATATATATATATATATATATATATATATATATATATATATATATATATATATATATATATATATATATATATATATATATATATATATATATATATATATATATATATATATATATATATATATATATATATATATATATATATATTAGATTTGGTTGCTTCTTCTTTTTTCTACAAAAACAGATCTGGAAAATCTCCTACATATTTTACACACTGTTTGGTTTCCTCACTCTAACCTTAACACCACAAGCATCCCTGACATACAAAGGCACTTACTAATATGAGTGAAATTTGCAGGAAATAAAATAGGAACATCATTTGACTAAATCATGAGAATTAAGAATGATGGTGATATTACCTTCAACCTTTGGAGTTGCAAGTGACAGCTTACTGAACTTCAATGAAGTAATTCCAAGAGGTTTGTACTCTTCTAGTAGAGGTTCAACGAACTTTAAAATAATCAACTTTGTATCCAAATGGTGAACAAAATCCATCATAACCAAGTCATCTATTTAAACAAACCATCTATAATGATTATGATTCTTTAAGCCACAAAACAATGATATTTGAAGTAAACCATTACACTTGTCATACTGATGATAGATAGAAAGATATTCTTGAAAGATGAACAATTAATTACTTTGACGATAGTATGGAAAAATACATATTTCTGTATTTCAACTGCTAGAGAACTAATAAGATAAATATGATAAATGCAATACTCACTTCTGCCACAAATGGCCAGAGTTTGATCAGGAGCTTGTTTAACCATTTCACCTGAAAAAAGCGGATGCAACAAAGAGTTGAGAACAACAGAATTACACAACTAATAAGTGTGCCGCATAAAATAATTTCAAGTAGCAGGTAATAATATATAGAAATAAATTTTTACTTGCTCATATACATAGAAACATATCTATTCAGAAAGATTTTCACCGTAAATTTCTTTAGATAATCTCTGTTGAGGGATCCAAGAAGTTTGATGTCAATAGTCTGCAAAGTAAGAGAATGACATTGGAGCAACACCACACATGTCTCCATTGGTAGCAACTTCATCTCCCAACAATGGAAACTTGTGACAGTGGAGTAATTTCTCCATACCCAAGTGCAAACGTCATTGTTTCCTTGTTGAGGCCATGGATATTTATTGTGAATATCAATGGAGGATTTAAGTTCTCAAACTTTTGATTCATTAGATCTACAATTTGTCGAGTCATTTCATCGAACATAAAGTGTGCATAAAAGAAAAGCGGTTTGGTGGTAAAAGTGAATTCCCATTTGAAGAAGAAAAGAAAAGTTTATTCTTTGATATCTGATTGTGAATCGTTGGAAAATATGTCTTTGATGGAAAAAATCAGATATTAGAAAATCCCAGATTTAAGAAGGTTGAAAAAATCTTTGAAATTTAGAAGTTTAAATATATCTGATTTGCAAATTAATTCAACAGTAGTGAATTGGTTCAGTGGTACAACATATTGTCATGCAAGTATAATCTACTTGGTTCAATTCTAAGTTAAAATAAAAAATTTAGAATTTTTCTTGGGTCACCTTTGTGATTAGCATATGCCATGTCAACTCCTACGCGTGTGAATATATGCCACGTCATATGCCACCTATGTAAAAATTAACATGGATTAACATAGATCTTTTTGAACATTTAAAAGATTAATTTAAAACTTTTTAAATTTAAAGTATCAAAATAGATTCCGAGGTAAAATTAAGGGAAAAAAAAATATTTTTCTATTTTATAAATAGAAAAAATAAGTATTTAAGATATAATTGATAAATATCAATATTATTAGAATAAGTATTTTCTCTTAAATTCAAACACAAAAGCTCACATCTATATATACAAGTGGCAGAACAAATATGACATATTATCATGTTCGTTTTATTCGTACTTTAATGCGGACGAGACAATGATTTATATCAAGGGTTTACAAATTTTTATGGGTGTTGACATTAACATTTTTTATTTATTTATATTTTTAAACTTAAAAGATACATTAACAGTAGATCTACATTACACAAAATAAAATTTTAAGTCTGGACCCCAAGTATATGTGTCTCACTCTATCCTATTTCTCTTACTGATTTTTGTGAGACAAATTTAAATGGAGCGGGAATATCCATTTGGCAGTGCTATATGTATTCTTTGTGATTATCATGACTTAACCTACCATAAGAAAACGAGAGGAAATTAGAGATAATAATATGATGTTTTTTTTTTGTCAAACTAGCTATTAGAAAAAAACAAACTTGTACGAGGAAAGAGGCCTCGCCTTTATAATTTGGACACCTGTTTATATATTTTCCCTGTGTTGAAAAAGGGCAAAACTCGAAATAAATGAATATAAATTGTAAACACCGAATGGTTTTCACATTATCAGAATAAATATAAATTCCACTTGGAACTCGGAAGAAGTACCCACACACTCTCTTTCCGTTGTATCATTTCCACTTCTACTTTTCTCTCACTACTCCATCCACCGTCCTCTCCCTTTCCTCGCCTGAACCCTAATTCGATCCGCCGGAACTCTAAAACCACCGCCGAGGTATTATCCGCCTTTTCGCTATTCTATTCTATTTTTGTTTGAATGCTTCATTTTACGCTTACAGTGAACGAGTTGTTGATGCAGTAGATGATTGAAGAATAGGTGAAATCAAAAGAAGCTGGATTTCCTCGCCGAATGGAGGGAGGTAGCATCTCTAGACTTTATTACTCTGGTACTTTCATGTCCAACTTTTTTTTTTTTGGATATAGGGTTCTCATTTACTATATAGTGTAATACGATTCTATTTTTCTGATACTGTGTGTTTATGAAAGTTTCTTGAGGGTATAATAGTTTGAAAAGTTAGTGTTTTAATTTCAATATAGTTACACGAGTAATTGCATTTTGGTTTACTTTCTCAAGTGAATCGTTTTTATTTTATATTTTTTTTGCTGCTCTGGACTATTCTGTTCCATGTTTCTCAAGATATACATGCACAACCCTTGAGATTTGTAAATGTTAAGTAGTAGTTTGAAATTTGAAATAACTCCTACAAATAATGAAGGGTCTTTCTTAAATTTAGAGCATCACAAACTTGTTTCTTACATACTATTTTGAGTCTATCATGCTATGAAGCACGGACTCCGGCAATGACACTTTGACACTGATAATGTCAAAAACGTAGGACACCGACACCACTATATGATAGAATTTTGAACTTCATTTGTTAATTTATTATTAAAAGAGTTAAAAATATCCTAAGTAAAATTATAGTGTTTAATTTTTCATTGATAACATTGTTTTAATAAATGTTTAACCCTTTTAAATGTGTTAAATTGTCTAAAAAAAGTATAAGGTGTGTTGAAGCAAAGAAAAAAACAAATTGTGTTGAAGCAAAGTAAAGTAAAAAACACTTGTCTAAATTGTCCGACACGTGTTGCATGAATGTCAAACGGATGTCAAACTCCGATTTAGAAAGTGTCAGAGCAAAGAAAGTTAATCATTTTTTTGGAGACACTTGTCTGACTTTTCCGACACTTGTCTTACTTTTCCGACATGTGTCGTACAAGTGTCATACACCAATGCATGTCGGACACTGCGACACACCTACTCTTAGAGGTGTCTGTGCTTCATAGCTATCATGTAAGGACTGTTGTTTTTATATTTTACACGTGATAAAGTCATTTCAGTCTAGTTGTTATCTTTGTGGTATCAGCCACTTCATGTTCTGCTAAGCGCTTAGTGCTTCTGGGGGTTGCCACACCCCGTGCAACCTACCTGTCAGCGTGTATGCTGAGGCATGGACGTGCATTTATATTTTGTGGATCTTTTACGTGTGGGTTTGTTTATTTATGAGTATGAATATATTTGTATTGTATCCAGTTTGACCATATTGTTCTAGCCGTTTCTCTAGTCTGATTCACTTGTATGTTTAAGGGATACACTCATGGATTATGATGACAATGACTTTCAAAACCAGAATCTCCATTTAGCCGGTGAAGGGACTACCAAATTTCCTCCAGTATTAAGGCCATATGCTCTCCCCAAGTTTGATTATGATGAAAGCCTTCAAGGTCATTTAAGGTTTGATAGTTTGGTTGATACTGAGGTTTTCCTTGGCATTGAAAGTAACGAAGATAATCAGTGGATTGACGCATACTCCCGTGTAAGTAGTGGCATCGAGTTCAATTCAACTGAAGCTGAAACTTGCTCTATATCAAGGCATAATAATGTTTGGTCTGAGGCGACTTCCTCGGAATCTGTTGAAATGCTATTAAAATCTGTTGGACAGGAGGAATTTACCCCTAGAGAAGGTGTTATACAGGAATCAGATGCTTGTGATGAACTTGCATGCTTAGTCAACCAAATGGACCCCTATCTGAAAGCTGATGAGAAAATTGAGTTTAAAGATGATGTTGCTGATACACAGCCACCTAGTTGTATTCATGAAAATTTGTCCGGATCAAAGGAGGCTGTAGAAATGGAGCACTCTCTGGCCGGAGTTTCCGAAGGCCGTGGAGGCGGACCATCAATAGATGGAAGTTTAAATAATATGGAACCACCTGATATGCACCGTCTTATTGACTTACCTGAGTCAGGGGGGATTCTCTTTACTGATGGTAAATCTGATCATACAATCCAAATGAAAGTTGAAACTCCAGCCGATGCTTCTCTCCATGATAAAACTAACGATAACTCATCTGCGTCTGTGGCGACGACTAATATGAATGACACATCTACAGAGAATATCCCTTCTACTTGTGAAGTCTTGAAAATTCAAAATATGCAAAATCAAATAGTTGCTATCGGTGATGACAACCAAAGTTCTTTAGAAACACAAACTAGTAAGCAGGATTTGGAGTCTCAAATGAAGAACGAAAATTCTGATGTTGACACTCAAACTTTAGATGTCAGCGCGGTTGAGGGTGAATCAAATCAGTCTGATAATACACTTTGTTTAATCCATAGGGAAGACACTTTGGATGTTGAGAGGGTAGTTGAAGGCTCTGCGACTGGGATAAGTACTTCAGAGAAATCCTTGAACACTGTACCTGATGATATTTCTAACCCGCAGAAAACAGAAAGAGGAAGTGAAGATGCATGTTTTAGAGATTTTTCCCCGAGAAATGCTAATATAGACACATTATTGATTAAAGATCCTGTGGCGGGTGATCAATCTGTACCAAATACTAGCAATATTCCAAAGATTGCAATAAAAGATGATTCCAGTTCTGAAGGGGAAGATGCATGTTTTAAAGATTTATTTCAAGGGAATGCAAATAAAGATGCTTTATCGATTAAAGGTCCTCTTACGGATGATCAATGTCCACTAAGTACAAGTGACACACCAAAGATTGCCGTAGAAGATGATTCTAGTTCTGAGGGGCATAGAGTTGAGGTCAGTAGTTCTGATTGTGGAACTTGCCCTAATTATCATCTGAATATGGTTACGATTGAGAAGACACTTGGCAAGAGCAATGTTTCCAAGGAAAAGGAGTTGTTAAACAATGGTGACCAGATGGATACAGATGATTTGTTAAGTAAGGCAGAGGCATCTATGTTTGCTGTAGTGGATAAAAAGACTTTTGTAGTTAGCGAAGGAAATAGTGATAACAGAGCAAGTGTTTTCAGTTTCAATACAGTGGTTTCTACTAAGTCTTGTATTTTGGGCGAGACAACCCCAGTGTGTGAAAACAACAAATCTAACAAGCAGGGTGATCATAAATTTTTTTGTCAAGCCATTTCTGTCAGTGACCAAGGGAGTGATAAGGCTCCTTTTGATTCAAGCACAATTCATTGTGATGTTGATCAATCTAATCTGGCTGACGGGGGAGTTTGTTCATCATCTCTTGGTGCATGTAGCATGGAAACCTCCACAGTGTCAGTTGATGTCACACCCATCAGTAGTTCAGGTATATTACAAATTAGAAAATATTTATCTTGTTTTAGGGTTTATCTTCAATGTTTCTTTGCATCTTATTTTTCAGGTTCAAAATATTTGTTAGGAAGTATTTATTCAACATCATGTAAGACAGTATATGTTGTACCTCCTAGCAGAATTGTGTATTACATGCTTAATAACTAGTCTGTAGTAAGTTACTAGTAACATAGTATGCTGATTGGCATATTCTGGCACTGTATTGAGCTTCTTAAGGCTTGACCTCTAAATAAGTAATCTGCGTACTTTACTGAAAGCTTAGGTGAATCATTACATCAGTTTCACTCAACAAGATACTCAGATTTCTCTCTCTGGTTTATCATTTTCCTTACAGATGTCCGCGAGCTTAAAAGGATGAAGCATGTTGACTCTGCTTCTGTTGATGAAAAGGAAGACTTTGAAGCCCAAATAGTTGAGGAAGCAGGCATTTCTCTTCCTGTTGGGGTTTCTAAACTGGAAGTTGATCCTTGTCATGTTGCTAGAAACGAAAATAAAAAAAATTCCGACAATACTGGACACATATTATGGGAGACAGACAACAACTCTCTGCATAATCTGGATACTAGTGCTACTGAAAGTATTGGTGAACCTCAAGAAATACAAAGTGGTATGGTTGATCACAAGTGCACAAAAGAGTCTAGTGTGGTTGCTGTTCTATGTGAATCGGTAGAGAAACAGGGCGATGAGGTTACTGTTTCTTTCATTAAGGGTGATAGGGAGGCAATACAAGAGCATCATGACAAGCCATACTCAAAATTATCTGGTAATCTTCGATATATTCTTGTGATTCCTTTCAAATTTTAAAGTTTTTTGTAGGTGTAATCAATTGTTATTTGTTGATGACTCTGTTTACTGATAGTGCTTTGTGCACCTCTAAGAACACATTGTCAATATGTAACTATTCTTGAATGTTAGAGCATCTCATTACACATGATAAGCTTGCCACCTTATTTATTGTCTCTGCATAGTGTATGTGAATGTGGTTGTGGGCTTGTGGCATCTTATTCCTGATCAATTGTCTACTTTTTGAATTTGCACTTGATTTTTCTTGTTTACTCTTGTTTCTGCTTGCTGTGTGCAGCATTGGAGAATGTTATAATTTATATTTTATACTCTCTCCGTTTCTTATTGGGATTTTTTTTACCAAACTCTAATACGTTGTTTTACAATACCAATGAATCATTAATGTTAGTTTTCCTATTATACTTTTAAGTATTTATTATTCTCTCCTTTTTCAACTCTTAAAATTTATATTTCCCATATCATTAATGAAGGACGATTTTGTAAAATCCTTCATAATTTCTCTCTTTTCATACAACAATCATTACATTTCTTAATACACGTGAAATAGCTAAACACCTTAAAATAAAAATCGGAGATAGTATCAATTTGTCCCGTCCTGTTTTAGAATGACTCCGTCTTATGTTAGTACAATTGTTGAAAACATACTATGTTTGAACTATGTGCCGAATTGTTTATACTTGATTTTTTTAAAAGAAAATTGTTTATATTTGTAATATACATCTCCTGTTCTTGTGCAAAATTTATTTAATTTTTCCATACCCATTAGAAAGATTGATTTTATAAATGACTTATTGTTTGCAAATGAAGGTTCCATATCGCCTTCTATTCCGGATCCTCACAATGAGTTGCATGAGACTGGAGGTTGTCTCGCCAATCCTTCTTATTATAAGTGTGGACCATCTGCTACATTTGGTAGCCCTCTTGAAACTGAAAAGGGTGTGAGTATTAAGCCTACTGCTAATCTGAACACACCAGTTTTTGATTTCGTGAATGAGGATGCAAGAAACACATCATCTTTTGATCATGATCACAAGGGAAATGATGTATCTAAAGATGGGAAAAGCTTAGCTCCTGATGTAGATCTAGTGGCACATTCGTCCAAAAAAGACGTTACAGATTCAACCCCAATAGGATCAAAAGCTGGTGAGAGGGGTCCTCTTAAAACTGAAAAAGGTGTGAATATTAAGCCTATCGCTAATCTGAACACACCAGTTTTTGAGTTCATAAACAAGGATGCAAGAAACACATCACCTTCTGATCACGATCACAAGGGAAATGATGTATCTAAAGATGGGAGAAGCGTAGCTCCTGATGTAGGTGTAGTGGCAAATTCACCCAAAAAAGACGATACAGATTTGACCCCAATAGGAGCAAAAGCTGGTGTGAGGGGTCCCTTTCCTGATATTGCAGCCAACAAAGAATCAGTGGTAATTCGTGTTGCAGTTCATAATAAAATTTCATAGGAACTCTTATATAAATGTTACTTCTCCATCATTTACAGCTTATTGAAAGATTCATTGTAAAATACAATCTGTATTTTTCATTATGAATTGATCTAGTTGACTTATTATTTTTTTTTCTCCTCTTATTTTTGAAGGTTGTAGCAGAATCTCCACCGGTTTCTGAATTAGATACTCCCAAACCGAATGTTGCTAGATTTGTATCTCACGGAAGTCCACAAATACCTGATAGTGATTTAGCACAAAGTGTTTCTAAAGGTACACCTGAGCGTAAAACCAGGCGAACACCTATTAAGACTGCTGGAAAGGAATCATCTAGAAAAGGAAGCAAAGGAAAGACTTCAGCAAAACAGTCAGAAAAAGGGGATAGATCAACCAGTGTACCTCTGAGCCCATCCATCAGTACAAAGCCATTTTCAGATTTGAATACCTCTGCTTCTCCGTCTGTTATGTTTCAACAGCCTTTTATGGATATTCAACAAGTACAGCTGCGTGCACAGATCCTTGTCTATGGAGCTTTGATGTGAGTTCTAAAGTTGGCTGTTATTTTCATTTAAATGTTATGGCTACTTAGATGTGATGTGCAAGTGTGCTTTAGAATATTATATTTTCATCCGTTCCCCTCCACACTTATAACCCTTAGTGTTACAAATAGGACCAGACTAGTCGATCCTACTGGTTAGACTAGGAATCAGTCAAGGATTCTGTTCCTAACTGATCTTTGAATCAGTCAAGCATTCTGTTCCTAACTGATCTTAGAATCGGTGAGGGCAATAAAAAGGCCAGCTGTGAGTGTTTTTTCTTTCTTTTCTGTAACTTTTATTTTTATCTCAATTGTAACTAATGTCTAGTGATAAAAAGCCATTATTATGAGTTTTACTATTTTACCGTTTACTATTATTTTCTTTGATGTTAATTTAAAATCAAACTTTCATATATTTTAATATTTTAAAATTATTGACTATTATATAATATAGCGCGCGTGTGTATGTATGTGTCTGATGTCCAGACCATTGACTGATGAACTAATGTCTTTGCCAGCTATGGGATTATCTTGCAGTTTTATCGGAATTCTTTCAGTTCAATTTGGTGTGTTGAACCTTAGCCATCTTCTATGATGTTCCCAACTTCTAATAACTGTTTTCGGAATCCAAAGCCTGTTGCATCTTTATAAGATATGATTTTGTTTAGGTAGCATGAGTTATGCTATACTCACCAGTATGATGACCAACTGTGCTGATCATTTTTCTTATTGATATTGCTATAGTCAAGGCATAGTACCCGAGGAGGCCTATATGTTATCGGCTTTTGGCGGTGCAGGTTTTTGTCCCCCTCAAAATCATGATCTATTTGCTTATTTTTCTTCTCTTGCTTGCAATAAAGTATTAAGCTCCTAGAAATTGTTTTTTTAGATGGTGGGCGGAACTTTTGGGAGAAAGTCTGGTCTTCCTGCTTGGAAAGGCAGCGGAGTCACACGTCTCATCCAATTAACCCAGAAACACCACCGCAATCACTATCTGGTATATTTATGATATTATGTACTTATATATGTGAGTTTAGATTTTCCTCTGGTTTCATTGTGTAACTATTGTGAAATGAGATCCTGCAGGTACTAGAACCCATGATTCAGCAGTTAAGAAAAGCGAACCGCATGGAAAGGGTATCTCTTCCCCTCTTGGCCTAGCCAGTAGCAAGGGCACTCCAACCATTGTAAACCCTTTCATTCCCCTGTCATCTCCCCTTTGGAGTCTACCGTCTCCCTCACAGGCACTTGTTTCATTGCATCATAATCAAACTCCACCACTGAGAAACTTCCTTGGGCATAATACATCTAGGATATCCCAATCCCCCCTTCGTGGACCGTGGGTTGCTTCTTCTACTCCTACACTTGATAACAGTTCCTATCTCTCTGCATCACCTGTCACAGATACAATTAAGTCCAGTTCAATCAAAGGAACTTCTGTACCTTCTTCCTCTAGCATTAAGAATGTCCCACCTAATTTGCAAGCTTCTAATGTAGGTCTACAAAATGTATTTCTGCAAACTACTCCTCTGTTTAATACAAGCAATGCGACGGTATCATCTGCCCGGCATTCTTGTGATCCAAAGTCCAAAAAAAGGAAAAAGGTTACAACAGACTCTGAGGATCTTGGCCACAAGGCTATGCATTTGCAGTCCCACCTAGTATCAACTCCTGTTGTCAGCAACCATATATCTCCTGCTAACGCCACTGCAACCCCTGTTGTGAATGTGCCAGTAACTACCGTTGAAAAATCAGTTGAGTCTGTATCGCCTATATCTCTTGCTGACCGCCTTAAAAGTGGCTGGAATGTTGAGAAGAGGATTATGTCAGATGAGTCTCTTACAAAAATTGAGGAGGCAAGGATAAATGCAGAGGAAGCTTCTGCTCTTTCTGCTGCTGCGGTGAATCATAGCATGGAGATATGGAAACAGTTGGATAAGCACAAAAATTCTGGATTGTCATCAGATATTGAGGCCAAATTAGCTTCTGCAGCAGTTGCAGTTGCAGCTGCTGCAGCTGTTGCAAAGGCAGCAGCTGCAGCTGCCAGTGTCGCATCAAATGCTGCACTGCAAGCAAAACTGATGGCTGATGAAGCATTGATGTTTTCTGGTCATGAGAGTTCTTGCGGAACTTATTTTTCGGAGGGTATGAGTAACTTGGGAAAAGCAACCCCTGCTTCCATCTTAAAGGGTGCAAGTGGAATCAATAGCTCTAGTTCTATTATTGGTGCTGCAAAGGAGGCTTCAAGAAGGAGAGTCGAAGCTGCTTCTTTTGCCAGAAAACGAGTCGAAAATGTGGATGCTATTGTGAAGGCTGCTGAGCTGGCAGCAGAAGCTGTTTCACAGGCTGGAAGGATTGTCACCATGGGTGATCCTTTGCTGTTAAGTGACTTGGTTGAAGCTGGTCCAGAGGGTTATTGGAAGACATTCCAAGAGTCTTCTCAGCAAGTTGGGTTATTGAAAGGCATGGGCAGATGTCTGATGAATGTTGACAATGTAGACAGACCAGAAACCTCTCAAATATCTAACAGAGATACCTCATCTATGGAAATGGGGAAGCAGATTGCTGCAATTAAGGAGTCACCCTTTCAAAAGGTGCATAATGAGACGTCATTGGACCATATAAGATCAGTTGATGAAAATAGTTCAAGTGGATCAAGGGGCCGCAGAGTTTCTAATTTAGTCAATCCCATTGACGTGCTTCCCGAATCTGTGACTGAAATACAGGCTTCTTTAACTGATGGTAATGGATCCAAAAATCTGGAGGATAATAACATAAAAGAGGGCTCACATGTAGAGGTTGTTTTAATAAACTTTTTCCTTTCTTTTAGTGATTTAGTTAGATTCATGACTGCTGATTTTTTTGGGTTATTAGTTATTGTAACTACTTTGTTGATTATTAGGTTCTGCTGTTCTGAATTTTACTATCTATTTTTGGCTAACTGAAGCAATCATATGTATCAGGTTTTTAAAGATGGAAAGGGATTTAAAGCAGCATGGTTCACAGCCAATTTATTAAGTTTGAAGGATGGTAAAGCATATGTATGCTACAACAGGCTTGTAGCAGATGAAGGTCAGTCAAGCATTCCTGTTCATTAATGAGAATGAAATAACATTATTTACTACTTGACCAATAAGACAAACTACATGGTTTTGTTTTCTAATTTTTTAACTATTTGCAAGAGTCAATGGAGGGCTTTGTGTTCAACTCAGGAATCCTCTATAATAGAATATCTGAATGTATAAGCTCATAGATAGATCATGTAACTCATTTTGATATGTTTTTGAAGGTGGTTTTGTCGTAGGTTTAATCCATAAATTCACAATTGAGGTTTTGAATTTAAATTAAGCATTTTGGATATGATTTTTATGATGTTCATCACTGGTCATTTCAAATGAAGATCTTATATAATTGTGTAATATTGGTAGCACTGTGAATAAGTACGAAAAATCATTGTTTCAATGGTGCAGGGCCTTTAAAGGAATGGATTTCACTTGAAGATGAGGGAGATAAACCGCCTAGAATACGGGCTGCTCATACTCTTATCAGTTTACATAATGAAGGGACAAGGAAGAGACAAAGAGCAGCTATGGTAGACTATTGGTCCATTGGGGATAAAGTTGATGCTTGGATACAAGAGAGGTATATTTTTTGTTTTTATACTCTATGCTAGATAGAATATTGTTTCCATGAATTACTGTGATATAGAAACCAACACTTATACTCCATAGTTTTCATCTCTTTGGCCTTAATCTAGCCTAATACAAGGGATGTGATTTAGTTTCAATATTTTGTTTGCTTTCAAATAAATGGAGCAACTAATTTAAAAAACAAAAATAAATTCAGTGCATTATAATGTTTTGTAGCTATGGGTAACTGATTGGTTCAAAGTAAGGTTCAAAGTAAAGAAAGGCAAGTACAAAGTGTAAGTGAGTAGAATTGAATACCTGACTCTCTAGTGAAAAAGGGTATTTATAGTTCCCCAGCGTTGGGGCAAGGTCCTCATTTGGTCTTGATTCTCAGCCCAAAGTGGAGTCTGCCAGGATCCTACGTGGGTAGGGGAGACCAGCTATGTGGGTAGGGGAGATCAGCACGTGGTCTCTATCCTGGTCAACTGCCCCGTGATCTTCGGAGGTAGAAGATCCGTTCTTTTCGGGGGCAGGATGACTCCGTGATATTCGGAGAGTTGTTGGCCACGTGTCCTCGACGGGTATATGGGGAAGACGTCCTCGACGGGAACGGGGAGGAGACGTTTCCCAACGGTCACAGCTATCTGGGCCACTTTGTTGGGCTTTCTTTGCAGCAGCGTTGGACTGGCCCTGCCTGACGGAAGACCAAGTGCAGGTCCAGTCCACAACAGGTTGTTGGGCCTTCCTTGCTGTGGAGTTGGGCTGGGCCTTGCCTGACGGCAGACCAAGCGGAGGTCCAGTCTAGAACAGTAATATTCAGATAAGACATAAATAAGATCTTTTATTGTGCATTCAGTTCCTTCAAGGCAAAGTAGGTACACTAAAAGGGGTTTTGCAGACTCGACTCATCCTATTTATTAGCTTTTGTCTCGCATAAACTTCAAAGTTGCAAAGCTTGGCCAATTAATAATGGTCTTGCTGCTTGATTTTGAAGCATCAATTGGTTTCTTACTGTAAATTCATTATGCAGCCGCACCTTAGCTGTGTATTTCCTTTTATAATAGTAATGTATTTCATATATTACGTCTATATTTTGATGTAGCAGTTACCTCAAAATTAGCTTTTTTTTTTATTAGTTGGCAAGAAGGAATTGTTACAGAAAGGAATAAGAAAGATAAAACATATACCGTTCAATTCTCAGGTATTGAAGTTATCTAACTAGCCATTAGCTTAAAGTTGTGCTTACCAATGTGTATAACCAGCTTCTTGGAAATACATAATCTATTTGGTTTTCTGCAGCAAGTGGAGAAACATCAGTTGTTGAAGCTTGGTATCTCCGTCCATCCCTCATTTGGAATGATGGGAAATGGGTTGAGTCTCCTAATGCGGGAGCAAATGACAGTCCCACCAAGGAGGTACTTTGTTTGCAAACTCTGATGTCTTAACTTGATGCATTGCCTTCTGTACTGAACTATGCATTTTGAATGCAGGGGGATGCACCGTGCGAAAAACGGACTAAATTATGTAGTCCTACACAAGAACTGGTAGGGCGAAAAGACAAGACCTCAAAAGGCACTTATGCTTCAGAATCAGCTAATCCCAGTGAATCGAGGTTACTTAATTTGAATGAAGATCATAAAGTGTTCAATGTTGGTAGGAACATCAAGAATGAAAAGAACTCAGATGCACACAGATTGGCAAGGTCTGGTCTTCAAAAAGAAGGACCAAAAGTGATCTTCGGAGTTCCTAAACAGGGGAGGAAAAAGAAATTTATGGAAGTAAGCAAACATTATGTTGCTGGGGGATCAAGTAGGATTAATGATGGAAATGATTCCGATAAGATTGCAGATTCTTTGTTACCACATGCTTCAGGATCACGCGGATGGAAAAATAGTTCAATAAAACACACCAAAGAAAAATTAGGAGCTGACTGCAAGCCCACTTCTAAATCTGGAAAGCCTCAGGTTTTGGGTAGAGTGATCCCATCAAAACAAAAACCTTTGTCAAACTCTCGTAACAATGATTTGACAAGTCGTACAGAAAGGACAAGGGATTCTTCAAGTCATGCTAGTAATGCATCTCAGCGTGAAAATCAGATGGAAAGGGCATCCTATTCTGAAACCCCAGGAGCAAGGCAAACCTCAAATTCCTCACGTACATCTTCAACCAATTCTCACCCCACTAAAAAGCCACCCACATCAAGAGTAAGTAAAGGAAAACAAACAGCTGCTGATGGAAGGTGCGGTAAAGTTGAAGTGGAAAAGGCTGTGAAAGGAAATCCGGTGAAATCAACCTCTGAAGAAGTCCTTGAGCCTCGTAGATCCAATCGCAAAATCCAGCCAACATCAAGAGTAAGAATATGTTCGACGTCAACTTAAATTGATTGTTCTAAAGTTTTGCATCAACTGATTTTATTTTCAGAATTATTAAGAAAATGTAAAATTTTAGCCATTTATTTTGAGCCTGATGTTGTTGACTTTGGCAGCTATTGGAAGGAATCCAGAGCTCTTTAATTATTACAAAGACTCCGGGTCCACACGAAAGAGGTTATAAAAACCATAACCGGAGTACTCCTAGGGGTAAGATTCTGTTTCTATAATAATACTCCCAGCTATTCTCCTGCATCTGTAGCAGGGTGAGTCTATAATTAACATTTCAATTTAATGATTAACTTTGACAGGCAATAACCATGGTTAAATGAAGGCTGCGGTTGGATGACTCTACTTAGCATAAATTTGTATATTATAAATATAATAGGGGACATATCTATGGGAATTCTTGCTTTATTTTTGGGTTTAGAAAGACTAGTCAGAGTAGCTGTTCATATTGATTTATTCATGTCTCGTAGAATGGCACTGTAGGCTGTACATGGAATTTATCCATGTTTATTTACAGAAGTTTGCTGATATATCAAATGGTAACATAATACTTCCTTGGGTACACGACTGTTTTTGCTCCCATGTTTCTCCTTTGCCTATAGGTTGGCAAAATTTGGGATAACATTTGCTATGACAATCATCAGCTCTGTAAAAGAGGATTAGTCACTATATTAATATTTATTGTTTTGTAGATTATATTTATAAATTGTTATTGCCAGTATTTTGTTTCATCTTGAAAGAAAAAGGCAAACATCTGTGTTATTAGAAGTAGCCTTTCAGTCTTGTTTATGACGATGATTTCATGTCAGCTGTGACGAAGAGAAAAATGAAACTTTTTGATACTCTTTGAAAGAGGAAGAAAGTGACATAAATCATACATTGAAGGTGAAAAGGTTATTAGAAATGGTTTTGGTTATTCTACACGGATAATTTATCTTTTTAAATTTTGAAAATGAAGTAATTTTAAAGTATATACATAGAATTAGATAAGATCGACTTATAGCTGACCTATTTAAGTCTGACCCACATGATAAAGAGGCTAGTTTATTTTTTTTTAAAAGTTTGTTTAATTAAATAAGTCAGATTTACACTACTAAAAACTCTATGAAGTCATATAAGTTGATTTATATATGCATAAATAATAAATTAAAAGTTATGTCATGTTTAAATAAATATGTAAATATACTATTTAAAAAACTTTTTTTAAATAGGTTTTCCAATGAAGCTGGACTTTTGAAAAGGCTAGACCAGATCAATAAAAAAGAAGAAGCTTACAATAGGTTATAGGTTAGTTTCAAGCCTTAAAATTTGAGGAAGCACCCTAAGGAAAGTAAAAAATGCTTTTATGAATTTCAAAATGTATTTTTGGCCACACATATTTCATATCAAATATGTAAATGAACCACACCTTTCTTTTTGCTTGAAAATAGTTTAGAGATACACTTTCGTATTCATCATTTATACATTCTATGTATTTTTAACTGAGACACACTGATTTTGACATAAATTAATTTGAAGATGCACTTATGTACTCACCCATTATCCACCCATGCAGTCTTAACTGAGGCACACTCATTTTGACATAAATGGATTCGAAGAAAGTAATTTTTGACTTTTTCTTTTATGAAAAATACACTAATGTAATAGATCATGTGTTACAACTATACTATCATAATACTTTTTGATCTGACCTGATCAGAAGGTTTGGATCGTCACGGCTTGCTCCGAGCTGAAGGCTTTTTGAACGAGGAGGGGGGGTACCTGCAAGGCACTCCGATGCTAAAGTCAGTGGGAGTACGAGCAGATAATAGAGTTGAGGTTAGAATGATCAATACCTGATCCTCTGGAAACAGAGGGTATTTATAGCCCCCAGCGCTGGGCCAAGGTTCCTTCATTGGGCCGGGCGGATTTGGCCCAATGGAGGAACTGCCAGGTTCTACGTGGGTAGTGGGGACCAGCACGTGGTCCCCTTCCTGGATGTGCTGCGTGAAGTGCGGGCGGACGGAGACGCGGTCTTTCCGGAGTATCGTTGGGGGAACGGTGGACTGAGTCTGCCCTAGCCGGGTAGCTCGAGACCATGTCGAGCTGCGCAGCACGGTGCCGAGCTGGACGCCAGGACCTCGAGCTGGACAGCGAGTGTCGAGCTGGACGCCAGGACATAGAGCCGGACGGCAGGGTGTCGAGCACGACTTCACCGCGTGGGGTTGAACATCGAGATGTCGAGGTGGACATCAGGGTGTCGGGCACGGATGTGACCCCCTTTGCCCAGTGTGGTCCTTAGTGAGTCCCTTTGGACTGGGCCTTAGTAATGCTTTTGGGCCTGTCGGGCCCAGTCCAGAACAGGAGCCCCCCAAGTCGTGGTTCCTTTGCGAGGGGCCATGACTTGAAACCAAGTTGTTCCGTCGTTGAGGTCTCGTGCCCGGGATGGAGGTGTGTGCCCTCGAGGGGCCTCCTCGTGTCGTGCTCGGAGACGTCCTCGGTGGTGGATGCGTGGAGGATCCGTACCGGGTGCGTCGGTCGAGCACACGAGGTATCTTTCGGGAGCTGTGCCGCCACCCTAGGGGGGTAGGGCTATCATTGCGTTGGGAGCAGCGCGTCGAGGAGATGGAGTCCGTGGTTGCCCGAGGTGACGTTTGGTATTCCACGTCATCACTATAAATAGGATCCTTGGGCCCCATAATACGTTTTCCGTTCTCCGTGCTCTCTTCGTTGCCGCTCTCAACACTTTCTCCAGTTGCGACTTCCCGTCTCAGACTCTTCCATTTCTTAGCCAAATCCCACACTTCGATCCAAGTAAGTGATCTACTTTCTTCATTTTTCCGTTTAGAATGCATGATTCCTGGAATTTGTAGATGTTTTAGGACCGTGCGCGTGGGATTAGCCCGGTAGACTCGCGTTTTGCCCGACAGATTCATGTCTAGGACCGGCAAACGCATGTTTGTGGCCGACATATTCATAGTTTTAGGTGAAAAACTTCAGAGCTGCCCGGGGTCTTCATGATCCGGGGCGCCTGATTCATGACGGTGCCCGGTATGTTTATGGTCGTGGCCGTGGGCTTCATAGTGCGGCTCGCCATGTTCATAGCTCGGGCCGACATGCTTGAAGAGTGGCCGCGCAGTTGGTTTTGAGGAAGAACACTGGGTTCAGGAGAGTCGGGGAGACATCCATTTGTGAAAACGGACTTGTGAAGTCGTGTATGGGTCGACATGATTATGTCGAGCATAGGACTTCATGCTCAACTGATTGGTTTCCCGTGCTCTGCAGGTAACCATGGCGGATGAGCCGAGCTCCTCCGGACGTCGTGATCGCGAAGAACAGAGTGCCGACGAGTCGGCCACCCTTATAGATACCGTGACCGACCCATTGCTGGAATGGGTGGGTGTCGAGCCTCGGGGGACAGCGTCGATATATAGCCGGGATGACCGACATCCATTCACTGTCATTGAAGAGGGTCAAGACCAGCCCGACTTCCAGCAGAACTTCGTGGTCATGCTTCCGTCGACCAATGCAAGAATTTGCTCGGTGTATCCGAACTACAGCCTCGCGATGTATGAGATCGCGTTTAAAGACTTAGGGCTGCGGCTGCCGTTCACTGATTTTCAGACCGGGGTCTTTATGCACTTGGAGCTGGCCCCATCCCAGCTACACCCAAACTCTCTCGCCTTTATCCGGGCGTTTGAGTTGACGTGTCGCTACTTGAGGATAGGGGCGACCATCCCTCTTTTCTTTCGGGTATTTCACCTACAGCGTCAGTCCCGAGGAGGGAAGCACAGCTGGGTGTCCCTGAAGCAGTCGAGGAGGCTGTTTAAGATGTATATGGACTCTGTGAGGGGGTTTAAGGACAAGTGGTATGTGGTACGCCCTATTACCGACTCTGCTTTAGATTCCCTTTTCGAGGAGGAGGGGCCCGTGAGCGACGATGATGGGGAAGCGATGGTGGCCGACGACGGGAGCCCCGTGTTAGGTCGTAGGGCTAAGTTCCCGGTGTACTGGATGTCCCGACATTACGAGCATGGGACAGGTTATTTCCATACCGCTGTCGGGGACATGTGCTCGGAAGCTCAGCGGGCGTACGAGGCTCTTTGCCGGTTTGTCGACAGTTTTCATCCCGCCCAATGGGTTACGCGGGAAGGGGATGATATCCTCGACAAAGACGGTTACCCGACGTTCGAGTCTCGCCCGATCGACACCAAGGCGCTGGTGGAATGTCCGACATATAGGCAGGCAGCCCGCCTGTTAGGTTGTTTGCTTGAAATTCTTTATTCGTCATTTATTTATGCAGTTTGCTCGATACTGACTTTTCCTTTATTTCGTGCAGGTACGATGGCTAGCCGACATGAAAGGCTCCTGAAATTGTCAACCGACCAGAGGCGAGGCAGGAGGGTCGTGAAGGCCCCGCAGACGACGAGAATGGGACCACCACGAAGTCCGAACGCTCCTCAGCCGGTGAGGGTGGACTCGACGTCGAGCTCGGGACCCGCGTCAGATCCAGAGGTCGAGGAGATTGACCCCAGCGCCGTTTTGACGCAGAGGAAGAGGACCCGCGTGGAAGGCGGTTCGACTGTCGGGGAGGATGCCGGTGCTGTTCAATCTTTTGCCTTCCCCCCTTGCTTCGAAGAGGCGGGCTTTTTCGAGCGATTCCCTCCGACAGTGGTCGCCCATGAAGCTGAGGCCATAAAGAAGATGAGTAAAGAGGAAAGGAAGGCCTATCTGGCCGCCAGCGTGGACGGGATGGTAAAAATGGCCGAAATGGCTTTGGTGTTATCTGAGGATGCAGGGGATGCTGCTCGTGTTGAAGAGCTCGAGCAGGAGAAGGCGGCCTTGACTGCGAGCTCGCGGAAGTTGAAGGTCGCTCTGGAACGCTCCGAGGAGATGTTCCGAGAGCAGACCGCGATACTTGATGCCGAGAGGGAGATGCTGACCCTGGAAAAGGAGAAGTCGGGGAGGTTGACTGAGGAAGGGGAGTTGCTCCAGACCGACAGGGATCGCTTGGCTGCCGAAGTCGAACGCCTGGGTAAACAGGTTGAGGAAATGAATGCTGTCCTGCAACCTGCCGAAGATGAGCCCGAGGACATAGTGACTTTGAAGAGTCGGGCTGAGCTGGTCGCCCACATCCGGCTCCTCGAGGCGGACTGCGTCGGTGCTCTGGAAGACGGGTTCAATTCTGCAGTCGATCAGCTCTCATTGCTAAACCCTGGTCTGGTCACTGAGGGTATCGGTCACACACACCGGGTTGTAGGTGGCATGATCGTTCCTCCGCCCGACTCTCCTGGCGTCGACAATGATGATAATGTGGAAGTTTGAGTAGGATAGCGGGCC